TTTTTTTTTTTTTTTACTATATTTATTTACAACAGGTTTTTATTTGATCTAACAAAGAAAATAGATAGATTACTTTTTTTCATTTCTGCAATTTGATGCAAAACATTTAAGTACGAAATCATAAACAAAGAATTCTAAATAAGAACTAGTTTATCTATAAATATTATGAGTACAAAAAAAAATCTTGATCTATAAAAAATTTTTTTATTGTGTGGGGAATAAAATTTCCTAGATTTAGATATTGATATTAAACAGGATTATATGGGATTTAAAAAAGAAATCTTGACTTTAAACCTGTTATAAAAAGGATTTTTTTTTTTTTTGATAGATTCAAAAATAAAAATAAAGATGCCGCCAAAAAAAAAAAAATTTACCGTGTTTACAAACCAATATTTTGATCTTAGCGCGTCATTTATATGTCATTGATAAACCGAGTCTATTCCTTTATGGTATTAAACATACATTGTTGAACTTCAATCGTAACTTTTAATTATTTTACCTTTTTCGATCTAAACAATTATCTTTTAATACTAAAAAAAAATCACGCATATATAATAAATCCGTTTTTTTTTTCAGTTTCTCAGTTTTTTCCACGCCAAAAAACAGTTTTTCTTTTAGTTCTTTTTTAAACCAGATTCGTATAAAATTGTACACTAAACAAATAATAATAATAATAATAATAATAATAAAATTAATTTTTTTTATTAAAAAATGCTTAATCTAGCATTTCTTTTTTAATTTATAAATAATAATTATTGTTAGTTAATTATAGTAAATAAAAAACTATACAATAATATAATGTTTATTATTCCTTAAAAAGGTCCCTTTTTGAAATAAACCATTTGATAATCTGATTAATCTTGTTTATAATTAAAAAAAAAACGGTTTAACCCATAACTTATTTTTTTTGAAAGAAATATTTAATATATGCATACATAAACAAAAGAATAAATAATGGAGCAAGAAAAAAAAAAAAAAAAAAAAAAAAAATTTTATTTCAAGATTATCACTTTTATTATTTCATTATTGTCACGTTAAAGTGGAAAAAAAACCTTTTTCTTTTTTTTTTTTCATTCATTCATAATCCTGTGATACATTATTGGTCTTCTGATAATTCATATGACTAAACAAAAAAAAAAAACGCATATATACCCTTTAAAGTTCAATGAAAGATACGCCAATTTTCACTATTACTAATTTAAGTATCCCAAATAATTCCTTAAACATTTGTTAATCATTGCGGTACTTTAGTAAAACACTCCGCGGAATTAGCAGTAATTGTTTAATTTTGTCCGAACCAATAGGGGTTAGGGGTTAGGGATTTGTTTTTTTTTATATGAAAATTCTTTAAGCCTACTATACACATGAGCGACTAAAAACACATGAACGACTAAAAAACCGCATGAATATTCGACACCAACGCCAAAAAAATTAAGGAATTTTAAGAAAAAAAAGAACCCTCGAAATTCTTTATATTAGTTACACTATTCAGTTTCCTTGATAAAGGATGTAGAATCAAAAATTTTTCGGACGATTTTTCCGAACTAACATTTGCGCATTGCATATAAAAGAAAAGTGTACGACTATTTATACGTCAAATACGTCAATGAAATTTTTTTGAGTCGCTGCGGGAAATTTTTTTTTTTTTTGTAACAATGTTTAGATTTTAACAGAGCGAAATAATAATAATAATAATGTTATTACAAATTCGGAATAAAATTATTTTTTTTGAAAGAAAAAGATACTAAAAAGTTAGTGAACGTTACACCACATAAAAGAATCAAAAATTTAACTTAAAAATTTTGGGCGTAAAAATTCACGCATATCAAAAAAAAAATATAATTTTTACCAATTGAAATAAAAATTATTATTACACAATGAAAAATTTTTGTAATTAACTTTTGCTAGTTTAGATAGATGTAAACAATGACGCGAGTGATTGATCTCTTTTTAAACAATTTCGAGCAAAGTAATGACAAAAAAGTTATGGATAAAATGTAGTAGGCGCAGCTGCATCAGCAATTTGCAGTTTGCATTGTGGCTGGCAACCACATAAAAGTTGATATTTTTTTCTATCAGTTTATCTCTGGATTCCGGTAATAGTATTATAATTGGCTACATAATAAATCAAATTACCTTTAGAACCGAAAAGTGTTTAAGAAATCATCAAAAAAAAGTTATCATTAAATGACAAATTTATAATAATTATAATAATTGGATAACCCGAGATAGCCACAATGACACAGCCACTTTCGCAGTAGTGGCATAAAAAAAACGTGTACAACTAGCCTCAAATTATTTTATTTATTTATTTTATTTTTAGCCTAATAACCGATTAATAACATAAATGATAAATTAGTAAATATCTATGACTGATCGCTTATAGAAGAGAAACCATGCTCGAAAATCTCAATCATCATGAAACAGTTGAAACACGTTTTATGAAAATCTAGGAAATGTTTCAGATCTGAAAGATAAAAGAAGATAATAAACGGTGATTTTTTAATCATTTTCCGAGATAAAAGTATTTCAAATATTTTTTATTATATTTTTTATTAAAAAAAAAAAAAAAATCTTTGCCAAATCTTTGCCTAAATTCTAAAACCTTATCTTTTTTCAATCAAAATCTAAAATGATAAAAATTTCTTCTTATTTTCATATGAAATTACCCTTTGACCCTATCATGTTTGACGTTAACCTAACCTAAAATAGTTTGTACGTATTTATAATTAATTATAAAGTAGAAAGTGACTTTTATAGGATAATCACAAAAGTGATAACAGTTTTATTCATCACTTTTATTAAAAAAATTTTTTGTAATAATGACTATTGAGATGAACATCACAAAGTCATGTGGTACGAAATAATATTTCTTTGAGGAAAGAAATATTGAAGGGGAATAAATTTCCATTAAAAACCAATGTAATAACAAATAAGGTAATTTATATAACATTAATATGTTTAAATAACGTAAGATATTTTTCTTATCTATTTTTAGATATTATTCATCTAATAAAAACAAGAAATTTGGCTATTCTTGGCAAATTACTGATTATTAAAAAATTGACGTAAGAATTTGATTTTAATGATAATGGTTAGAATAATATTTATTTCATGTTTTTACGCAATTTTTCATAATTTTTCATATTAAAATTTTCATAATATTCATGATTTTTCATGATTTTTCATAATATTTCATAAATCATATATATTTTCAACAAAAAATATTTAACGTTATGTAAATCCTCATTAATTTTATTAAGTTGATCAAAAATATAATAGTACAACTGATTAATAGTCTAATATTTCAAAGAAAATCAAAATTTTTTTGTATATAAATTACTTAATCAAAAAAAAAAAATTCCCCGCTTGCTACACAAACAACACATGGCCAATTACCTTCGCCATAAGCAACAACTATTATATAATCCAGCCAACAAAAATATTACGGAATGAAAATTACAAATTAGGAAAGATAATTCCGGAATTATTCAATTGGTCAACTCGGCTTAGTCAAAAAAAAAGAGAAAGGTAAATTGAATATTATCACGAGGATCAGTTGATATTTTGATGTACCCCTGAATATTTATTATTATTTTTTTTTTTTTTTTATTATTATTATCAAATTTCCTTTGCAAAAATATGAAGTAATAAAAGAGAGAACAATCTTTTATAAAATATATAAATATATAAAAACTGGTTGACCAAAAGTTCTATGAACGTACCTGAAAAGTTAAATTATTTCCCCTTATTTCCTTGCAAAGAATTTTATTATAAAGGTACAGGAATTTTTACTTGAAAATGTTGAAAATGATCTCAAAAAAGTTGGGCGCAAGGATATTGTAAATGAGTTTCGCGACGAAAAAAAAAAAA